CGCACCCTTGATCTGTGGCACCAACGCCAAGGCGAAGTCGTTTCGCCCATGCTTCCTGTAGAACCACACGTGCGCACAATCCCACTGCCCCCCTAGGCCCCCTACCCAAAGCGCAGAAAACTCTCTTTACTCAGGAGAGATACAAGAATGTATCGATGAAGAGCTCGTAGCCGATGGGGGAGGTCCGATGGGTGGCAAACGCGTTCAGCTCCTCGAAGTTGGAGGCATTGCTCAGGCCACGAATTTTGATTCTCCAGTATCTCTTGTCGGATACTTTCATTTGGGTCCGCAGGTTGTCAGCCTCCAAGACCTCTCCAATCTCTATGAGCCTGATCAAGGTTGATGTCAACGACAACCCTGCGAAGCGAGTGTTGCCTTTCCAATGCTTCGCAGCCGCTTGATCCTCTAACGACACCTGGGCCCGAAGAAGGTCGATTTCCTCAGCACATGCTTGAGATGCAAATTGCATGGAGGTCTTTTCTGCATCTGTTGCTGTCGGATCACTGATTGCAAAGAGATCCTTTGAGAAGCGAAGGAGTTTCATCCGCTCTTCGTAGTTGGCTTGTCGGTAGATCCGTTGCAGCGCGCAGTAGGCTGCTGGACGCTTACGGTCGAGCTGGTCACACAGCATTCGGGCACGGTCGAACTGCTCAGCCTTCGAGAGAATGCTGGTGACCATGTCGCTGATGACCTGCAGATCAAAGGACCGCTCCTTGACCAGGCGAGCCACAGTTTGGATGTCTGCACCGCGCTTGCAGATGCCACCCCCGCTGGCAGCAGAAAGCGCAAGGTGGATCAGGTCGGGATCCCAGCTCCGTGCAGCTTTGTCTAAGGCGATGCGAAGCATAATCTCCCGGTTCTTCTCATCTCCTTCCTGACTTAGCTGAACCAATACCTGCACCTGTGCATGGCTTCTTGGCTCATGATTCAATAGGGAAGTGGCAAGAACGGTTCTGACCATTTCGGCTGCGACCCGCGCCACCTCTGCATATCCTGAGCTTTGCATGGTCACGCACTTGCTCTCTGTGCCTACGACAGCATTTTTCAAACAAAGGGCTGCAGTAAAGGCAAACATGTACTATGTAAAGCTTGCAGCCAATACCCGGACAGTGCTGGAACTTGCTCAGGATGATCTGGCACAGCTGCTCATCCGTGTAAGCAGTCGAATGCCGGATCTTCTCACATGCCCAGTGGTACAGGACCTTCTCCTCTGAATGTCCCGTCCATTCGCAAATCCGAGTCGCAAGGAGGTGGAAGTGGCGCTGTGCTAATCTCAGACTCAAGCCTCGGTGCTACTTTGCAGATCTCTGGACCTCATCATTAATAAGTATAGTAATACTTAAGTAGCAATAGGAATCTACGACGGAAAAGATTTTCGGAATCTCGGCCTGCGATGCCGAGCTTCTCAAGTTGGGCCGCGGTAATGGGAATCTCGACTGGGGACTTTCGCAGCTCCACGCAGATCCGCAAGTTCTTGCAAGCTTCCCTGTGACGGTCCGGCTCCAGGGTATCAGATAGGAAATGACGACCAAAGCTTGCGGCTCTGAGCAAATTGCTAGAGTGTGGCGGCTGCTCACAGAGCGCCGCATCAATGCATGTTGACACGGCATCGGGCAGCTCAAGCTTGATGGGTCTTAAAGACTCCTGTGCGCAAACATCTCCACTCTCGTAGCGCTCCAGTGCATAGCACAGCATCGCCGGCGGATCAACGCTGCCGATGCCGAAGACCTGCTCCACACTTGGTGGCACTCGTTGCACGAACTCGATCTTGTTTGTACCCAGTACCCGACAGCCGTCGCACTCTGACACCAAATGCAAGGGTGCATCGTACTGGTAAGGAATCCAGTCGTTCCTTGACTGCAGTCGCAAACATGGGCAAATGGTCTCGAAACCATAATCTGGCCGAGCCTACTTAGTGCCTACTTGCTGCAGCTGCTGGCCCCCTCGTCGGGCCATTATGTGTGACTATTGCAGGGCCACACTGTAAGCTGTAAGCCCTGCACACGGACATCTTTCATAAGACATGAACAAATTGCAAACCGACAAACCAACCAACACGAACCCCGAACCCGCCCGATGTTCGCAGGGATTGCCGAATGCCAGAGCCAAGGCTGTACTCTCCCTCACAAGGGGCCTTCTTCTCCCCTGAAGCGTGACCAGCGCATCTAATGCGCACCAAGCATCTGAGGCCCTCCAACGAAGAGGATGTGCTGCAGGCCTTGGCGGGGCGTTTTGGCTGTACTAGTTCTTGCCACACCTGTTATGGCAGGACTACCTTTCCACCTGCACTGGCTCTTGTGAGACTGCAGCTCGCACGATCCTCTTGCAAACTGCTGTGCCAGACAAACAGTTCCCGTAATACTTCGCGACAAAGGACTGGAAATGCAGATCTGCTTGTGGCACGCGGAAGTCAATCTGATCCGAGCTTGCGGCTGTTCGATGGGGTCTGCGCAATCAAATACAGAGCGATACAGTCGTCCCCACCTCTGGTGATAGGAAGCAACGAGTGGGGTCTGAATCAACAGCCTGGACGCAACACTTACGTACTGCAGGATGGATGTGCTACAAGCGGCTGTCTGCGCTTTGCTGACATGGTCACAGGCCTACACACTCTCGTTGACTCGGACTGAGAAAGGTGCACCAGACCATCTGTTTGGGCTTCTTGATCGTGTCAACGATGTTCGCCACATCCTGCCGGAAGCAACTTCTCCGACTGTGCCTACAGCTGCTGTCAGTCAGTTGCCCGGGTCTCCAGGACTTGCAAGTTGTCGCTGACAGCGAGGACCTCTCGCGCGAGAACACGTGAGAACCGAAGCGCACTTATAAGCAAGGGGAAGCATCGAGTATCAGTGCCTTGAACACGCCCTTGGTGCTGAGGCAGGCCAGGAGTCGGCCGCTGCTGGACAATGCGAAGGCCATGAAGGGACCCTCCGTGAGGCCGATGTCTCCTTAGGCCAAAGCGCACCAAAGAGCCGCAAAAAGGACACCAGGGCGCGAGGCGGAGATCAGAAACCGAGCGGCTGCAGCTGTGCCTTCAGGGCGCCAAGCGACACATCATGCTGCATGGCACTGGAACGAGAACAGCATCTACAGCCTGTCGACCATCAAGACGGGCCCCTCAGAAGTACCCACAATGACTTGCACGTCCTCAGCTGAGTGATGCCCATGGGCCAGCCCTCGCTGACTCGATGCAACACCGGACTAGCGCTGCAACGCCCCAAATTGCAGGCTTTAGCTGCCGCTGATTCTTCTGAAGGCGGCGGGAGCACGCAGAGACTCAAAGGCGCCTCGGAATTGCTGTGAGCACTTCCTTTCACTTTGCATCTTCCCTGAAACCTTCCATGAGATGGTGAAGCAAGTGCTCTGCCACGTGACGCTGGGAACCTTGAAATCGGCAAAGCGCTGGCAAGCCTTGGCTTGTGCGGTTCAGCGCAGGTCTCTCTAGCCTGGCGGTGGCTGCCTGTCTAGCCGTGTCCGATGAGCCTGCAGCATGTATCTGACTGCCAATGCCAACCTAGGAGCATCTTCTGATCGAGTTAGAGAAGTGTTCACAAATATGTTGAACTTCCGCGTCAGCAATGCCTCCCGCAGGACAAGCACTAGGTCATCAGGCTTGCGTGCAACGACTGACTGCTGACAGTGCTAACTCACTCTTTGAGCAAGGCGCAATTCCGTTGGGCCACAGTGCTGCTGCAATCGCCCCACCCTCTGACATGATCCGCTCGTCCACGGTGAACACGTGCAAAGGTTCGCACATCACCGTGAACCTCAAGGCAAAGCCACATCCTAGGCCCTCCTAGGCTACTACATTGACATGGCTGAAGTCAGGAGGGCCACGTTCGGACCAGCCCAGACTCGAAGACGCACACCTGACACAAACTCTCTCGGGGCGGGCTTCGGACTTCGGATGAGAAAGCGAGGGAAGATGCATGTGCTGGACTCTTCAACTGCTGACATGGCTCCAAGGTTTCTTGTGCACTCCAGCCCATGGCAAGCAGACCTCGCGCTTGAACGGCTGTTCGCCCACTCAATGCAGCTAGACGGGATTCATGCCGAGCGACCGGTGTGTGCCCATGGTGCTGACTGAATGAGCCGGCCGGCAGATGTCCAGATTTGCAGCTCGGTTCGAAGACTACCCTTCACGGGTTGGAAGACATGCCTAAGGCTCGCGTCTGAAGCCCCCATGAAAGCACAGCACGAGGGGCAACACAACCGCGCAGGAGCTCTGCAAGTATGCGCATGCCAAGGAAGCCCCGTTGCTCATCACGCACCGTCGCCACTGGCCTAAGAAAGGATCTCTTGCAGCTCAAAAGCCCACACTCGAAGTTCATATTCGCAGCACAGCACCAATCGCTGACATGCAGTCCGCTGCGGCCAGGAGGCCCTCCATACGGCGCACCAGCCACGACACACAAGTGAAGCCGATCAGGGTCATCGGCCCATTGTGCAGGATACACCTTCCACTTCGTGGCATCTGTTGTCGACCATCACTGGGCTTGACATCATAAATCAAAAGTGCGCCTCGCGCTTTCGATACCAAAGGTCTGCAAGCCTGAGTTGAACACTCGATTTGAGGCTTTCGGCGAACACTAGACATGCACCCCCCTCGTAGCCAACAGATGGCACAAGCTGTTTAGACGCAGCGGCTTCTGCCAGTCGGAGTTCATTGGTCGGCACAGGCCGAGCCATTGGCTGAATTTCGTTTGCTGTGATGCAGGCTATCTTGCCTCTTGTACTCACTCCGGCTCTAGCGTGTTTCCATTTTGTGACATGACACGATACTCTAAAGTGGTCGTCACGCCTGGTCACTACGCAGCGCTGTTTTGGTCCCGCAGGCATGCGAGTGGCAAACCCAGCCGCTCCTTGGAACTCAGAGCCGTCATGCCGGCGCGTCAGACACGTCTCTGTCGTAAGCAGCGTCGCAAGATCAGAAGCCAGTCGCCAAGCTGCAGCGACACGGCAGCACTAACGCAAGCTCCTAGAGCCCTTTTTTCTAGGTTTCATTTCCATGGTCTCGTGCACATGCGTTTCGATGGGCCCTGTGCTAACCAGGCAGCTGGTATGTTGCCTTCGAGTATGTCAAAGTCTCCGAGTCCAGAGTCAAAGTAAAACTTCATCTGCAGGAATTCTTGGCAGTGCAGCAGCCAAGTCCGCACAGCCTCGTCCGCGAGATAATTGCGCCAGTCCTGGTAATTGTCATTGTCCAAGAACCTGCAGTTTCTTCGGTAAGCGCACTTGATGGTCATTTCATCATCGGCGCTCTTGTGCCTTTGGCCCAATAGTCGGGGTGTGAGCTCGATGCTCTCGCACATGGCAGAAATGTCGGGAGGCACTTGGTGGACCTCGCGGCCGTTTTCATCGCCATGAAAGTTTTCGAAGATTACACCGATGACCCGGAGCTTTCGCTTCTGCGTCAGGTGCCATACGCACCGTCTGACGCCCTCGTAGTCAAACAAATATGAGTTCTGCTTGTCTTTCTTGAGCACTCGACTTCCATATGTTGCTCCCACATTGGCAAAATTCACTACTACGTGGTCCAAATCGAAGGGGCGGCCCTCGTTGTCCACAGGTTCTGGTGCAGGACTTCTTGGTGAAGCCATGTGGAAATGAGGCCTGGGGCCCACGCCTGGACCGGGTGGGGGTCCTGCGGGCGGGGTGGGCCCGGAAGGCTGGCTGTGGGCATTGAGGGCATGCGGGACCCCAGGTGGCCGTGGGCCCTGCGGGCTTCTGCAGGGACCTGCGACCACTTGAGTAACTGGCGGGTGAAGCTCGTTGTGCGGCTGGGCTGTCCCATCTTCGAGGCTGCTCGCCGAGCCTGCCCTGCGTGGAGCGAGGACCCTTTTGGCCGTAGGTTGGAAACGCCTCCAATCTGCCTTGTAGTTTGGGGGAGGCATGCTTGGTGGACGTGGTCCATCCGGCACGCCTTTGTCATCAAGATCCCGGATCTGTTGCAATGCCCTCTGCTTACTCTGATTCCGGGCCGCCACATCGCTGCTCTGTGGATTCGAAGTGCCATTTGGAGCCGCGGGTGCCGACTCAGCTTGTGTGGTCGGTTGGTTGGTAGCCGAGGCCGAGCGATTCGGAAAGAGAGAGGACCAAAGTCTGTCGAAGCTTCTTTTGTCAACCAGCGGATTTCCCTCACCTTGCTCCGTGAGACTGACTCGAACATCCTGTATGGCAGCAGGAGCATCCTCCTTTGATTCCGACAGTTGGAAAGCCTGAGACTCCCGGAGCAGCTTGCAAAGGACCCCGGGCATGCTACCGAAAGCCAAGCGCCGGCTACTGCTCAGGTGGCGCAGGAGCTGTGACACCTTGGGCTGTGTGAGAAGCCTTCGCATGGAGGCGCGCTTGCCAGGCTCCGTGAGGAGCTGCAGCCGAACCTGCTCTGCGAGCAACAGATCCACAGAAACAAAGTTTTGCGGAGGCGTGGGAGCCGCTTTTACCGGTGGGCTCGCAGGAGTCGCCGTGGTCGAAGCCTGCTGCGACGCGAGTCCCGGCTGTGGGGGCTTCGCCGGGCCAACCTTAGGTGCGGGCTGTGGCTGCAGGCGCGGAGGTTGTGGCTTCGGCTTTGACTTCGGCACTGTCGCCTTTGCAATCTGCGGTGGTGCTGAAGCCGGGTACTGCTTGGCAATGGGGCCTTTGCCACTTTTCCCATCTTTCCCTTTGATGCCCTTGCCCTTCAGAACGGTAGAGGGGGAGGCCTTGCCGGCTTTACCATCTTTGCCCTTGGCTTTGCCCTTGCCCTTTGGGGGGCTCTTCGGCTGAGGAGGACCCATCTCCACACTGACGATTTGACAATCATCATCGTCCTCTTCTAAGGCGATGGGATTCGTGGCTTGAGGCTCTTGAGGGACGTCTGGAGCTGCTTCCAGCTTGGTCTCGGCATGCGGCTCTTGTTCTCCCTGCTCGTCCTCCTCCATATCCGTTACATCCCCATCATTCGCCTCCTGGTGCTCCTCGTCGCCACCCCAGTCCACCTCCTCTTCGATGCCTGTTCCTTCCTGCTCTTCCACGTCATGGCTCTGGGTGTCCTGCGGCTCCTGGCCCTGGCCACCAGAACTCGGACTCTGTGTCCAGCCGAACTCATCCGAGATATCCTGGTAGGGGTCGTTCAGGCAGATGTCGGGATTCTCCATCCCGCCCCCCTACAGAGTCAACGGACTTGAGCCATGACTCGCGCTGCAGTTCCATGTTCATTTGCACCCCCGAGATCCGCACTCTGACAAAATCTACACAAGCTTTGCATGACTTGCACAGTCCAGACTCATCTTTTTTTTTTCGACCGCTCTTGCCGGAATGGCGGGTATCGCCGCCTCACTTTGGCGACACGGGTTCGACAAACGCATAAGGAGGAGCCCGCAGCAGGATCTGTGATCGGCCAGAAGCCGTGACGACCTCCATGTCCTCTTGTAGGGGTGCAGTGGTCGCGAAGCTCCGAGGGTCATTGAAGTCGCCATCGGACCGCAGCAGGCAAAGGGCCACGTTCTGGAAGCCTGACTGCAGAGTTCCCACTTGCTTCAGGTCCGACTGATCTTGTCTTGACCTAGCGAAAACGGCAAGGGCATCAGAGGCTTCGGGCTCCAAAGACTCTGCAGTGGATGTGATGCAGCGGGCTGTCAACGGACGACTGGGCTCGAGCTGCCCCAAAGCATCTTGAAGGCTCGACACCTCGCTGGACCCATAGTCAGCAGCCACAGCAATGAAGAAGCGCCTCCGCACAGCACCCCTATGCTTCGTCCGTGTTAGCAGCTCTTGGCCCACATAGCAGCCCTTGGAAAAGGACACGAAGTTCAGCAGCTCCATGTTCACATGCAGAGGCATCATCTCGTCGACTTTCATGTCACGAGGACCCTCCGGAACTCCGCAGCACACACGCCAACGATGGTAATCAGCTAGCGTCATTTGCGTGGCCGTGGTTGCCTCTTTTGAAAGGACAGCACGCTGACCCATGCCCGCAAAACGAGGATCTGGGAAAAAACTTGCGAGATCTGGCTCTGGCTCGTCGCCTGTCCATAGCAAGACTGGCCAAGCGCTCTTGCCCCGAACGAAACCAGCGAAACAACCCACGCATCTCTGGCCTGTGCTGGCACTCGACGATTCGGATGCGGCTTCTGGCGGCAGGAGTGCAAAAGGCGCGTAACCTCGCCACTTCAGGACGTTCACTCCTCAGCCCTTTCCACATCGCACCATGGCGCACCACGACATCGACTCTCTGCTGCCGAGCTTCTTTTCGAGACATTCTCAATAGTCAGCGGCTGTCGCAAGCGATGACGTTGTAGCAGCCGAAGAAGTGGTGCCGCCGAATCTGCATGGCAGTCGACCTCGTGTCGGGTTCAAGCCACATCTCCATCCACTTTGCCAGGGCTCAGCAAGCATTACCCTACCAGGGTAAGAATTGAAGCAGCATGGTGCAGCTGAAGATCCAGGAATTCGTGCTTGTCCACCTGCTGGACCAAGGTATCACAAAGTACTTTGCCTTTGGGAGATAGGAAAGCCGCGGGCAAAACCTGAGCAGATTCATGCTGTGCCCCAGCAGTGGGTAGGGCCGTAAAACATGCACCAGAAGTGTGTCGAGCTTTAATTTACAGCTTCACCAGCAAATCCAAGCTGCAGCATGACCCGCAGACCGCATGATCTGCAGACTCTGCATGTCCTGTGTGCATAAGCCTTGAAGGAACTGTCCGCTGTTCTCGCCTGGCCAGACCAGGGCTCTATGACCTGAAACCCAATACAAAAAACAAGGAAGGTTAGCCCTGGAGCTCCTTCGAAAGAATGGGCAAGCTCGGTTCCCTGCATTTTTCTTATTTCAGAAAGACCCCCCCCTGTGTGCAGTACCCGAAAGGCGCCTGACACTCTCAGTATCGCCCTATCGGTGAGGGCTACGAGCCGTGAGGCACAGCGCATGGCTGCAAAAGGATATCAACTTGAAACGTCGTTTCAAGCTATTTTAGCCTGCCAGCGGTTCAATTCTGCTAGCCAGTCACTCGTCACCGCCTTAGGGTCCCCCCTCCCTTTACTCATTCTGTGAAGTTGTGCACATCCGCGGCTGCAGCGATTGCTGAAACTTGCAGCAGGTCAGTCTGGTTGGACCTGAGATGCTTTCTCGCCCTGAACCAGCTCGAGCTAGCTTTTTCGAGCGCTCACTGCGACTCTTGGCTACCTTCAGCTTCCGTTGGCGCGCAGCTGACTGCAGCTTCAAGCCGCCGGGCAGCATGCCCAGGCGGGCAGTCAAGCATAAGGAGCCCCCTGTTGGGGCACGTCGCGCGCTGACAGGCGGTTCATCGCAGAAACCACATCACCTGCAACTCTTGAAGGCTTGCTGCGTCCCCAACCAACGAGTCATGTCATTTCAATCTTGTGGCTTTCCGACAAGTGCCAAACAGATAAGATCCCAGCCCGAACATGTTGACATCATCAGATGGCCTGAGTCACGTCTGCGAGCCATTCAAAGGGCAACATTCCTCCGATTGCCTCTGCACCCCAGGTGTTTCTGTATCCAAGTCCAGCACTCCACGGGGGCAGTGAAGGCAGTGTTCTCCAACCCTGGCAGGAATGACGAGGTTTGACCCTAAAATCCTAAACCTAAAACCCCTAAAACCCTTTTGCATCCAGGACTCTGTTCGCCAGCCCGGACCCCTAAAACCCTAAAACCCTAAACTCTAAACCCACCCCTCTTCTTCTTCCTGCGATTGTCGAGCTGCCTGAGGAAGATATCACTGCAGCCACCGTCGAGTCCATCTCCGGGGGGGTGGCCTCGTTCATTCGGCGATCAAGGCGACCGACGAACCCAACAAAACTACAGAGAGCAAAGCACAAATAGATCGATGCTTTTGGAAAAGCTCCAACACAGCAGCACACAGCAGCACGCAGGAACACATGACAAGGATCGAGACTTCTGTTTGCAGGATTCGTTGATTCAGTGAGCGGTTCAACCGGTTCCTGCACCAAGTCCAGGCCCCAAATTCGTTCCGCCGATTGTCTGGGTAGTTGCGATCCTGAACTCAGCAGTGGCTGGAGCCGTCGGGGTCGGCAGTCCTGCAATTATACAGCGCCTTCCTTGGTAGCTTCTCATAGCTTTACAAGTAGATATCCAAATCAGGACTTAGGGGTTTTGAGATAAGTAGCCAGTTTTAACACGGCGGCATTTGATCAAGGCCCACGCCCAGCCAAACCGGCAAATGACAGCAGTCACGTTGTCACCTCACCATGTCTGATGCGCGGCGAGAGCAAAAAGCCCTCGAAGTCGGGTCGTACTTTCGGGCTGAGCACGGCTTCCCTTGCGCAAGGCCGTCTGCACCACTTCCTTGGCGGCCCTGGGCGCGGCTATGGTATGGCTCCGGAGAGTTGCGAGGCTGACTCGCTCTCGTTCGTGATCGCCTGACGGCATCCTTGCCGTGACCCGCCATGGCACGCCAAACAACGTCTGCAACCTCCTGGCGGCATCCGACAGAATGCCCGGCACCGACTCTGTTGCAAATCTTGCCTGGTCGCTGAGAGCATCAAAGACGCCATCGCTCCCCAGGACACAGGCCCAGTCTTCGGGAACCTCGATGTGGCGAGCGAAGCAGAGGCTTCCCAGAACAGGCTTTCTGCGTTCGTCGCACCAGGTCCACGGTTTTCACGTCGGGGGTGACGATCACCTTGTTAAAGAAAATGCAGCATCGCGCGCATCATTCCCTTACACCTTAGAGCAGCTCAAGCACTGCCTAAGTCGTAGGCTATCGGATCCGGACTCTTGAAGGTCGGATCCCCAAACCCTCTGCAGGTCGACAGAAACCTGTACCCAACCGCAGCAGCTTTTGCTGGATCTTGCGAAAGTGGTTTTGTTCTCCGGTGAACAGCGCTGAGCTCCGGAACACACTCATCTGTTGACCGTCCTTCTTGCCCTGCCAGGGGTGACCAAGGATCTCTTCCACTCGAAGCCTTGTGCGACGTTCTGTGGCACCTTTTGCAACTCCTTGGCGAACTTGTTGTCCGGCCGCGGTCTGGGAGAGGCGGAGCGGCCCCGCACATGCCGCGACCGCGACTCGCATCGAAGACACGTATTTATTATCATGATCTTCATTGTTACTAGTCTCTTTTACTCTATTATCTGGACGCCCTGGCAACGCTTGAGGCCGCCACCCGACACGCCACACTTTGTGCGCATCTCGAACGACGAGTCCGCCGGCTTTTTCGACCTGAGCAAGACGTGGCCAAGTGACGCTCCCGAAGCGTCTCGAGGCTGACAGGGCAAGGAAAGACATCTATGACCCTTCAGGAGTGATACCCGCCGCTTCTCATCAGCACCTCGACTTTCGAGGATTGGTCTCGACTCTCAGATACCAAGGATCGACAGCCCTGTGAATCAGGTACCTTCCTTGCTATGACCTCTTCACATGTGGAGCCTGACTTACCAAGGCACGTTGGGGTCTGTGATCCTCCGATATCCGCAGTCCTTGACCTTGACTGGCAGTACCGCTCTTCTCCAAAATGCCATATTCTCGACTTGTAGCATCTTGTAGCAGCTGCGCAATCTCAGCCCTCTGCGGCCACGAAGAAGGACACACCGGCAGTCTCCAGCCCAGGCGACGAAGAGTTTGGCAATCTCAGAATCGCGAGTGTTTGCAACACAGCTTTTACATGCCTTTATGCTGAGTGCTGGGCGCCACCCGGAGCACGAGCCTCGGAACGGATGTAATGTAACCCGGTCCGAATCAACTGATGACTCGGCGTGGTCTCTGGGGCTGAGGCGACGGTGCCTGGGCGCTTTTCTTTCTCCGGGGCCTCCTGCAAACCACGGCACTGTAAAGCTCTGTCTTCAGAGGTCAGAGAGCTTCGTGTGCCGTAGCATTCCTTCGGTTTGGGCCATAGCGCAGCACAGCCTTCAGCCAGCTTGGCCTTTCAGCGAGGCGTGGGCAAAAAGAGCCAAGGATGCGTGCCAAAAGCGGGAGCACCTCCACTGGAGCCGCAAATCCATGAGAGACCAAGGCCACGATGCCTCGGACAATTTTCGCAGGGAAAGAGGTAACTTTTTGTGAGACACCAACACTGCGATGGTTGCGCTGCTGTGCGAGGCTTTTGAGCTCGCTGCCCGTGGAGCCCTCCTGGAGGTCCTTCTTGCGTGCAGCCACGAGCCAGGCCTTGGAAGCGGCAGAGTTCCGAGAATTCAAAGCACCCTTCTGCCTCTCTCCTTTCCCCTTATCGCCGTGGCCTTGTCAGTGACCTGTCCCGGAAAAGCCACCGAAAATTGGGAGCTACACCTGCACTTTCGCTGGAACTGCCTCGAAGCTCTCTGCAAGGGCTTCTGCGATCAAAGCTGCCTGACGACTCTTTGGACACAGGACCTGTACTAATGGTATTCGTAGTAGTAACAATAGTAGAAATGAAACTAACAATCATAATGTTGGTTACTATCGCAAGTTTTTTCAATATAGCAGGCATAATAACAACACGAATCGCGGTTGCAACAAAACAGCACTTCTACGAATGCGACGACTCTTAATTGCGAGAAGCTTCAAGCTGTGCCCAAGGCCTCCTTCTCGGCAGAAAGCTTCACTAGGCTCCCTTCGCCTCAGCTCTCTTAATGTCTTAGTCTTGAGAGGCATAGCTGCTGAGACCGACTGTAGAATTAGGCTGCTTTTTTGGCGCTCTAACCCTGTGCCCTGACTACCTCAATCTCCTGAAAGGGTCACCCGAAGCCGAGTATTCTGAGCCTCAGCCGCGCTTCGGATCACCGCTCGCCGAATATCACGAGCATCAGTTGCACCCAGGGTCACTAAGGGTCACCCAAGGCGAAGGTCACGAGCATCAGCTGCACCAATGGCCACCGGCATCAGCCACACCAAAGGTCCCCAGCCGAGCGTCACGAGAGCCGCACCCAAAGCCGCGAGCACGAGCAAGGGTCACCGAGCATCACCAGCATCAGTGGCACTTGAGGATCAGCCCAAGCCGCGGGCATCAGTCACCGGAAGCCGAACAACGAGCATCAGCCTCACCCAGGGTCACCCCCAGCCGAATGTCAGGAACACCAGCACCGCGGGACGAAGCCGAACGTCAAAACTGAGCATCACGAGCATGAGACGCACTAAGGCTCACCACCAGCCAAACGTCACGAGAGCCGCACCCAAAGCCGCGAGCATCACGAGCATCAGCTGCACCCAGGTCACCAGCATGAGCCGCACTTGAGGATCAGCCCAAGCCGCGAACATCACGAGAATCAGCCTCACGCAGAGTCACCCCCAGCCGAATGTCAGGAACATCAGCTGCACTTGAGGGTCAGCCCAAGCCGCATCACGAGCATCAGCTGCAGCCAAGATCACCGAGCATCACGAGCATCAGCTGAACCCAGGGTCAGCAGGCACGCAAGCATCAGCTGCACTTGAGGGCCAGGCCAAGCCGCTGAACCCAGGGTCAGCGGGCAGCACAAGCACCGCAAGCATCAGCTGCACTTGAGGGCCAGCCCCAAGCCACATCACGAGCATCAGCTGAACCCAGGGTCAGCGGGCATCACAAGCACCAGCCGCATTTGAGGCTCACCCAAAAGCCGCAAGCATCGGCTGCACTTTAGCATCAGCTGAACCCAGGGTCAGCAGGCATCACAAGCACCAGCCGCATTTGAGGCTCACCCAAAGCCGCCAGCCCAAGCCGCATCACGAGCATCAGCGGCACTTGAGAGTCAGTCCAAGTCGCGGGCATCACCAGCATCAGCCGCACACAACGTCACCGAGCATCACGAGCATCAGCTGCACCCAGGGTCAGCGGGCATCACAAGCACCAGCCGCAGTTGAGGCTCACCCAAAGCCGCAAGCATCAGCTGCACTTGAGGGCCAGCCCAAGCCGCATCACGAGCATCAGCTGCAGCCAAGATCACCGAGCATCACGAGCATCAGCTGAACCCAATGCCGCACGCATCAGCTGCACGTGAGGGCCAGCCCAACCCGCATCATCCACTCACCGAGAAAACGATCATGAGCTGCACTTGAGGGTCAGCCGAAGCCGCGAGCATCACGAGCATCAGCTGCAGCCAAGGTCACCGACCATCACGATCATCAGCTGAACCCAGGGTCAGTCGGCATCACGAGCATCAGCCGCATTTGAGGGACAGCCCAAGCCGCATCACGAGCATCAGCTGCACTTGAGAGTCAGCCCAAGCCGCGAGCATCACCAGCATCAGCTGCACCCAAGGTCACCGAGCATCACGAGCATCAGCTGCACCCAGGGTCAGCGGGCATCACAAGCACAAGCCGGAACTGAGGGTCACCCAAAGCCGCTCGGAGGCATGGTATATGGTGTACCGTGCCCGTCAGCTCCAACATAGACTCTGTAAGGGTCTGGCGCTTCGCACGTGTCCGGTACGCTGACAATACGTTCGGAGGTACCTGCTTGGCCTCTGCAGTGCTCACATCCAACGCTTCCTGCCCGCATTCCAAGGTGTCTTGAAGCAGCCGAGTACCATGCAGCGAACTCTGCACAGGATCCGCCTCAGGTCGTGTACCATGGAGTGCCTTCTCTGAGACTCACGGCCAGCCCCTGGCCCCTGTGGCCATCGAAGATGCCCGATAGAAAGCCGAGCTCGTGCAAGTCTTGTGCAGCAATGCGATCGTCGTTGCGCTCCTGCAGGAACACGGAACGCCTACCCCTGTCTTGCAACAGGTCGTCTACTGCTCTTTTGGTGGCTGCCGGCCTTCGCCCCTGCATTCGTGTCAACCCCACACAGGAGGCCCTTCTGTCCCGCCAGTGGCCGGACCTCAGCTTGCATCATCCCAAGCCCCAAAGCATCGCGCAAGGTGCCGCACATGTCGCAGTCTTTTTTGCACAGGTGTCCAAGTAAGATCCACGCATCCATGCAGACCTCGTCACGCGCGGGCTTGAGTGACGCCAGCCCCGAGGTCGTGGGATCTAAGCAGCGTGCGACTTCGGTCTTCTGCTTGCCATTGGCCTGAAGCTTCAGGCTCAGGATTTTGTAGAGAGATTGCAAGCCACCGAGTACTCTGCAGCTTCACTTTTGATTGTCATCGGGAGAAAACTCACCTCACGGACTGGTCAGTAATCACAGCCGCCCCGACAGCCTCTGCAGCCTGTAGCCTCAGCCTCCGGCGCGTGTGCCATGGAACAGCCCGCCAGGCCTCAGGCTACAAGCGAAGCCGGAAGTGTAGTATCGTAGAGAATGCTTAGTATCGTATGGTATAGTATAGTATATAGCATAGTATAGTGTAGCATAGTGTAGTATAGTTTAGTATAGTACAGTATAGGATAGAGCAGGGCATCGATGGCTTCTCTCCAGGTCGCCGACTGGGGTGGAACCTGGGAGCCGTTTGGCGCCCCCTGGGCCGGGATGAAGAGATCTGTGGCCTTTGCCACGGCCACGGTTTAGGGGTTTACGCTCTCACAAGGGTTTAGGGCTTAGGGGCCACATGGCCCTAGCTTCCCAAACTCGACTTTTTCGCAATCTTTTCTGCCAAACACCCAGCTGACCAAGCAATCTTGGGAAAGGGCATCTGCAGGTCCGTCTGGTATCACAGCTCCAAGCCTCGAGTGGACTCAAACGTCTTGAACTTCCAAATGCTCGGGACCCGTGTTGCTGTCTGGGGCAGGGACTTCCTACGACCGTTGTACCACCGAACAGTCCCCATGCCTTGCAAGTTTATCTGCACGTTGCAATGGCTGAAGGCTCTGTCCACAACTGAAGCTCGCGCGTCTGGCCGGCTTGGGAGCAGGGGCTGGGGCTGCCTCAGGAAAGGGCTGCGCGGTCGGGGCTCGAGTTCAAGGTGCTACAGCGCCAGGCTCCAGGCAACCCGAGAAGCGGCTGCCCCTTGGGCGCGGCCGGTGAGCTCCTTGGCCCAAAGCGTTCGAGAAGAAGGCACGCACTCCCGTTCCTGTTGCCCGGACCGGCGCAGGTGGAGGCGACCTGAAAGCACTTGAGACCATGTGACACCGTGGAGATGCAGTCGCGACAAAGGAATGATGGCGCATGACGGCCTCGGCGCAATCTCCGGAACAGGGCTCGATGGAGCAGCAGAGGCATCCTGCACAAACAACGTTCTGAGAGTTGAGCTCACACAGTGTCACCAATGGCTTGAACCAACCGGTCCTCCGTGTCTGGAGCAGGAAGGAGATTGTCTGGGCCTGGCGAACGCTGAGTGGGGTTCATAAAATTTCACAATGTTTCAAAAGGGCTTAACGGCTTGATTCTGCAGAGCATGCCGCGGCCCATTCAGAAGTGTTCTAATGTCATGTCTCGGCTGCAGGCGTATTGCTTTCACATCTCCGCTGGCGAGAAGCTTCACCTTTTCAGTTCTTCGTCACATGTGGTTCACGAAGTGCTGGCAGCTTATCCCATGTCACTGTCGGTGACAGAATATGCTGAAAAGTAACCATCAACCTTGAAAAACTTGAGCGACACGCCGCAATTGCAAGTCCTACCGGTCCTACCCTTTTTTTTCGAGCTTCGCCAGATTTCCCATGCGGGGCTCAGCCATGCCAAACCCCGGCCTCCCAGCGGCCGGATGCCGCGTCGAAGCGCTCCAACTTTCCGCGCCTCGTTTGCATGTTTGAACATTCATTTCATTGCAGAGGCTGGCACTTGGATCAAGAGATGCTTCGGGCATCTGGGAAGCGTGCGATCCATTGAGCGCTGCGGCCTGCTTCAGGTTGGTCAGCATGACCTCAGATTTGCGCAGCAAGCGAAGCTTGGTCCGCAGCCGTGGCTAGTTGGCTTAGGGACGGGACCATGGCGCCCGACTGAAGGCCATCACCTTCCCCTGACCTCATGAGTTTGACAGTTCGGGCCACGGTACGCCTTCACATCTCCGAGCTCGTGGCAGTGGCTCAAAGCTCACAGGCTTTGAGGCTGGGCGCCTGAAGACCAGAACTGGAGACTTTTGACACACTGCCCGCGGTGCTCTCTGCAGACAGTGCAAACTCGCTGAGAATCATGCGGTGGCTCTGTCCGACCTGACTGCGTTGCAGATCACACCCAAAGAAAAGGCATCTGTACAAACTGCTGAGAGTGGAGCTGCGACTTCTGCTTCTGCTTCTGCTGCTCTCATCACTGCTATCCTCCGGCAATGCTGGGTCATCACTATGGCAGCGCAGTAAGGTCAAGCATGGCCAAGGGTCCTGGCATGCAGCTCTCGCTGCAGCTGCCCGCCGCGCCTGCAAGAACACAGCCAGGCAACAAGATGAGCCTCCCATGGACCAGCTGCTGGGCCTCTTCGGCATCCACGGCATCTTTTTCTCGTTCCCTTGCTCGCCTTGAGGCAGGGTCTGCCAAAGTTGTGGATCCGACTGGATATCGCCGCTACGCATAGTAAGCATGCAGCTCTTCTGCTAGCTTGCCTCGCGAGTTTCTCAGCGCATCAGCAACCGGAGAACGCATCGTGTTGTAAGGGCAGGGCGCTTGACAGTTGCCTCGTCCATGAGATCGCTCTGTGAGCTCTCTCCTGACGTCAACCAGAGCCCATCGGGCCCGAAGTGCCTTCCTTGCCTGAGACTGGGGCTCTCCCTTGCAACCAAACGCCGAGCTGCCTCCTCGTCCATAAGTCCGTCATCACTTCCTTCAGGTCGGGATAAAAACCAAAGCTAAACTAGACTAGACTAGTGTGCCACACAAAGTGCCATTGTAAGTACGGGCCTGTGGCTGTCTGATCGAAGCGACGGGAGAGTTCATCATCCGTGTAGGCTCGGCCTGCCCAGGTGCGGACCTGGGCTCAGCAGCGGAGGCTTTCATAGGAGAGCGGCTTTCGTGTCTCTTCGGTTCCTCTAAGGTTCGAGCTCTCGAGTCCTGTTCCTGGAACTGCCGCCGCATGAATCCGGTCTCTACGCTTCAAGCCCCATGCTTTCGCCAAAGACTGCTTTTCTTGCACGTCCCTTGCTGGCATGCCTTCGCGTTGCTGCTCTGGTGACCGATGTGGAGTTCAACTACATTAACCATGGCGCAATGTGTATGCTAGAGTGGACACTGTGGCTGGTCGACTAGTGCTGCTGCTTGATGAAGCTACTCGGGCAGTCTGCCTGCATGGGACAAAATTCTGCACTGACGGTAGCTAACGGTTCCTACTTCGCGGCACATTTTGACATGGCTGCGCCATGCCGTGTCTGGGACTTCTACGCTGACGAAAGTGAAGCATCAGAGGTGGCTGCTTGTTTAGAAAGATGCAGGGCTCAAGGGTCTTTTGTAAGACATTGAATGCTTATGTTCGCCTGTATGCTGATTGCTTTTCGACTGCAACTAGCCGTCACCTCCCCGCTTCAACAAGAGAAACCTTGTAGTAAAGATGTATACGGCGATGCGCAGGAGTGCACATGACGGGTGAGACGCGCATGCTCAAAAGCTTCCGGAAGCTCGAAGTTCAAGAGGTCAGCCTCAACGACTGTAACATTCTCGAATGTTCCTTGCTTCACACGATGGCCTCCAGCAGTGACCCCAGTGATGCTGCGACCTCCAGCGTTGCTGATTCCAGGCTTCGGCCCGAAACATTTCAGCCAACGCTGCAGGCCTTCAGCTTCTGTCTTTGCGAGACGGAGTGCTCGGCTTGCCTTCCAATCTTCTGCGCTTCGCCGTCTCCACCTCTGAGCGGGAAATGAGTGAACCATGAAATCTCTGGAGGCCAAGCAGCGCCTGCTCCGTTTCACCGGACTCCTCTGCTTTTCGTACGGACTCGACCAGGTACTGGAAAGCATCCTGACACAAACTCGACATTCATTTGCGTTCCGTTCTCAACCCTACAACCTTACGCGTGCAGGCGTGCAGTGGCTCACAAGGTCCTCCGCAGTGTCCTTGAAGACCAGCATGTCTAAGTGCGATTGGGTCAGCCTGACAACACGATTTCTAGCCAGGATAGCGACTGACTACGCTGCAACAACGATTTCGCTGAGCCCTGCACATGCCACATTCCATCAAGTACTGGAAGTTGATGGTCTTCTTCCAGAACTCTTCGCCCAACAGAATGATCGGCAAAGGATGGGAGATTTTCCTTGCAATAAGCTACAAGCTGGAGACTTGAACGGCGGGAGATCTTCGCCAAGAGGCTTGGTCTGCAGGAGCACTAGCAACTCAAAGAGCTCATCCAGCGACCCGAAACCTGGCATCATCTGCTCCAGGCAGACCAGGAAAAACACGATCATCTCTGCGCGCCCAGTGCCGGGCCTCCTGGGCAGACTACGAGGCCCATGCACTTGTAGGCCATCCAGAATTTCCGCATGAAGAAGTAATGGAACTCGAAGGCACCCTCCTCCGACACGTACCTCCCCGCATGTCCCCGCTCTCTCCTGTGTCACTGGCTGCCGAGCTGCAGCCAAGGCTCTTGTTCAAGGAGCCCCACCTGTGGGCAGACACTCTTGCAAGTAGGATCTCTCAGTCGAAAAAGAAGTAGTTGCTTTGCATCTCACATGCCGTTGAGCAGCTCTGGCCGGCTGGCCCCGAAACCGAGCGTCTTGTCTCCTACGCACGACCCGCGGCCTTACACAACTGCATGTCTACGATTTGCCCTACAGGGTACGCCCCATCAAGTCCTCAGTAATCTGAGACAGCAAAGCCGTCCTGCTTCGTGGGCGCCGCGATTCGCAGCCTCCATGATGCCAGGACCACCACCGGTACTGACGTGATACGACCTTGGAGGACAGCGTGCCCTGAAGCACCCTTGTCCTTGTCCCCCCAAAACACTCCCACACCCTGGAGCCATCTTTCCGCGCATCACTCTGTCACAAGGACGGCTTGAGGGGCACACGGCAATCCTTTGGCGGCGCGCTGCCGATTCCATTCGCCGAGCTTCTTTCCAAGCTCCATGGCCATCCTAAAGTCGGAGCAGAGAACGCTTTTTCGGCGCCAACCGTTGGCAAGGGACGGTCTGATTGGTGTGAGGATGAGAGCTCAGAAAAATCTTTCCGCCGAGGCTCACATAGAACTTGTCCATGGCCTGTATCTTCTGCGCAAATCGGAGCTTGGCCTGCACGGCTTCGACCTGCAGTGTTCTGTAGACACTGCTTGCAGGAACACCTCGAAAAAAGCAAGGATGGCGGAGGGTCACCTAACATAGACCCTGAACAACAGGATCCTGGTTGGAAAAACACCGCTGTGGTACCCCTGAGGCCTCCTCTTCTGCCGTGAGCTTCTTGAGCTGCTGCTCCAGGCCAGCAATGTGCTTGACGCGGTCCTGAAAGGGAAAAACAAGTACTCTGTGACAGGTGTGGCCATGTCTTTCTTGAAGCCGCCTCCGGATGCATCATCAGGTGCGAGCCGACCTGCCAACACATAGTGTAGCGGCTCACGCTCACAAGCCAGCGAAAGTAGTTCTGTCTGAGGGGCGATAATGAAGTAATTGCTAATGTCATGCTTGTCCAAGCGCTGCATGGGCTCGTAGAGCTCACACCTCAAAGCCCAAAACAGCAGCCTCGCTCCGTTTTTACACTTCGGCTCTGAGCTATCAGCATGATCCGGACATGGCGAGAGGTCGCCGCGCCCAAGAAGTCTGGGTTTTTGTAGGCCTTCCAAAGAAAAGAGGGATATATGGCAATCTCTCCCTTGAGAGGAGATTTCGGAATGTGGCCGCAAAAAGCGCCTTGATGGTCGGGACGTTCTTGAGCTCGCCGTTGCCACTCATTGCGGCGGTTCTGTCTACTAACCCGCTTGAAACTGGAGCCAGTGCCTTCGGTAACTGCGACCTCGGCACGCTGCCCCAACTAAGTTTCGGCTGGTAACGCACAAGACTGCGCTCCTCTTTCGAACATGGCTCCTGCTGGGTCCGGAGATGAATCTATCACTGAAGCCGGCATCTTACCTGGCCGCGTGGAGAGCTTTTGCATCCTTTGGTAGGCTTGTGGTGTGCGCAAGAATGACAGACAGATGTCAGCGGCCTCTGAACGCTTCTAATCGTCCCCGCTGTTGAAGGGGGACAACGGCCTCGAGCGCTCCGTCATCACGGTCCGAGGCGAAAGCTGTTTGAGAGCTACCGCATCTAACCGCTCTTTTTGTGGCCATGGGTAGTGTTCTTGGTCTGTTCTCAGGCCTGGCTGGGACGGCTGGCCTTCGCCAACTGGGCTTCACCTGCCCTGGTACTAACGGGCCGCAGAAGGCAGGCGAGAGCATCGACGGAGTGGCAGTAAAGAGATGGAGCAGCAGTCAGGAGCCCAGGCGCATCAAAACTTCAAGGCTGTTGGCTGCAGGCGCCGAAGCAGCAAGGCCCCTCCCCAGCTGGTCAATTTGGTCCAACTTCTCTTGCAGGCGGTCTGCAGGGGAAAGGACACGGATGCCCAGATAGAGTGGGAGGATTTGGCCAAAGCACGGTGTTGTTGCTCTCGTCACAAGTGCGGCAAACAAGAAGGATCAGTCCAACTTCTGCTGCGGGGTCTTCCTACTGATTGAGCCTCCTTCACTGTGGACCCTCCGGTTTCCTTTGTATGTTTCTCGTCACTTCAAGAAGGTCCTTCTCTGAGGCACGGGCTTTGTGCAGCCAATCGGAACGGGGTATTCCATGCGACCTGGCCATGGAACAGGACTACCTGCAGGATTGAAAGACAGAGATAAAGCGCTCATGCCTCAAATACAGCCAGCATGCAGCATCTCACAGCTGCACGGCTTTCTCTGCATAAACCGCCAGAAGCAGTCTGTCACCGTAACCAAAAAAGCCCACCATGTCAATCCAGACAAGGCCTCCTGCGCCGAGCCATTGCCAAGCGACCGTCTGCAAAGCTTGGAAATTTCGGGAAAACAAGCTAGACTGCAGGAACATGCAGAACCCCCAACGAAGCATTACTGCAGCCATCTTGCCTTGTGCTTCGTCAGGGAACTTAGCGGCATCGGCCGTGGGGCAGACGTCCCGATGGCGCCCTGAGATCTGAAAGGGAAAAGCTGCCACAGAAACAGGTGGCTCAGACCTCCCGGTCTCCCCTCGCCACTTCTTTGAAAAGGGCTACCTTTCTCACTACTACTGTGCCCGGCCTCTATGAGCTCCTCGACCACTTGGAGCTCCTTCTTCTTGGACATCGCGGGGATGCGCCGCTCAGCCTCGTCTCTGACCGTCTTCGCCTTGGCCTCTGCTCTGGAGATCTCTGCAGCTCCGCGTGCTCTAACTCTGCCGGTTTTTGTATCTCAAGGGCTATGCTTGAACCTTTTTACGTGCTGTGGCAGTCTTGCTAGCAGTGCTCCCTGTTGTGGCTATGCCGCGGAACTTGTGCGGCTATGCTACAGCTTCTCCAACGAATGTGCACTTCGATGTCCTCGTAAGCACAAGTCTTGTCCAACCCACGCGAGAACAAACACCGCTCTTACGATTGCACCCTGCCAGCCGTTTCACCTCCTACTGCTGAAACGCCAAAGAGAATTTGGCAGGTCCTATGATTTCCATTGAGAGAAACCACTGCTGTGCTAACGGTCATTTCGTTATCCCTGCTGTCTTGTGGCTACAACTGTTCGCCGCTCCGATTTCACCACAGGCAAACTGCAAAAGTCGTTTGTACGTGCCAGGAGCAGCATTCCCGGTTCCCGCAATGTTGCTTCTTGTCACGACTGAAGCAGGAAGCCGGCTGTGAGCTGCTTGCGCTTTGTCGTCTATTGCGGGATCGTTTCGGTGCGCAGATCGATGCCTGTTCCTTGCAAGCAGAATGGCCTTTCGCTGCATGTGGCATGCACGCCTTCGCAAAGCAATCTTGGAAGGAGGTATCTGCGAGGTGGAGGTGGGGCCGCTCCCCAATTCTTGCTGAAACTCTTCTTGGAGGCTCTGCTTAGCTCTCCGGGAGTCGAAAACCAATTTCAGGCCCCTTCCCGACTAGAGTCTAGAGGATCTCGCAGCTCACAGGCGCGACCGCCATGCTTCCCTCTACTGCGGGATTCAGGAGCACGGCCAGAATGCTTGCCCCAAGCATCTTTACTCTGCATGTTAGAACCCCAAGTTGTGTGCCACACCGTCTGGGGAATAACAGGCGCGCTTTGCAGCGACGACAAAGTCGCGGCCGGACTGAAATCGAATTGTAAGCTGATCACTGTGTCTGAAGAGGCAAGGAAACTTCACCACGGGGATCGCCCTGCGCGGAACAAACATCAACGACGCGGCCGCGTGCGGCAAGGTGTGGGCTTGCGAGAGCCAAGGCTCGGCCTGGAATCTGAAGACCTTACCCGGTTTGGCGTGCAGGTGGGTTTGTTGTTGTTTCCTTCTTCCTTGGCGACGTTCTTTTCGCTTCTCTTCTCGTTGCTGATGCTGTGATCGTATTCTTTATGTCCGGTTGTAACTTTCCTCAGCATCGCAGCTTCGATGGTTAATCCTCTCACTCGGCAAGTGCTTCTCTGGAGTCGCAACGGATGTGGCTGCCAGGACCACCACTGACGGACTGGCGAACCCACTGATCAACTTCCCACCATCAAACAGCAGACGGACTGACTAACACGGGCAGGAGGCCTACACAAAAAACAAAATCGTGCCCCTCCAGAAGCAACACACACACACACACAAACACACACACACACACACACACGCACGCACGCACGCACGTGTTGGGCCGCAACGACATGCCTTGGCAGCGCTTGGCGGCTTCTTCTCAGCCGCAGCCTTATTTGCCGAGCTTGCCTTGGCTTCCGGTCTGCAGACCTCAGATGAGTTCCGCAGATAACCTCCAAGAAGGTACACCTCACTATCTCTGTGAGCTCTCTCCATGAATCGTCCCTGCGGGCCTTGGCCTTGGCAGTACTTTTGTCCAAAGTCTGGGTAACCTTGTCAGCTTACCATGCAAGCACAGTCACAGCGGTCTCCCCCGTCCGCCTTCTTGGCCTTTTTGCTGGAGACGGTTGCCTTGTCGCCCCGGCCTTGATGGCACTTCGAACTACGCTGTGACACACCCGCAGGCTGAGCAAGAAAAACAAACCCAGGCTACAGCCGAGGAGCCCATGCCCGCAGCAAACACGCGGCCGGCAGCATAAACTACAAGAGGCCAAGACAAATATTTGATGGAGCGCAAAGGCTGGCATGATGGCCGAGATGGGTGGGATGCTCAACGAAGTAGTCTCTCTGCACCAATGCCACCGGGGTTTGGCTGGCCGGCTTTGGAGCATTTGCGGGCGGCCGTGGTAAGGTGATAGACAGCCTGACCGAGCCTGCAAATTGTCTACAGGGAGCGGCGCATTGAACGTCGGGCACCCAGGGCACCCACACATCTCATCAGCACACATGGCAGGAGTCGCGCTCCCCAGTCCGCAGGTTTTCGTCGCGGCAACGATTCTGCGTGAGTTGACCCGGTTCTATCGGGCATGACGTGGGTACTAATAGCTAGCGGCAAATCGAAGTCCACATCCGCTACAGAAACTTGGTTTAGCTGGATGCTGCTTTTTGAAAGGCCTGCAGCTGTTGTTCTTCAATGCGGCACCAAAACAAAGACGACCAAGCTTCCAGAAAGTGCTATCTAGAGACTCTAGAGAGCACTTTGTTGTCGGAGCACCTGTTTGTGCTCATATGTGCATGCCGCAGGTCTCCGGACGACTGCGCAGTCGATGGGGCCCTGAAGCTCAGCTATGTCCAATGAGCTGTCTGTTTCTTGGGTTCTCCTTCAATTTCTTATCTTGGAAACTTCTGCAGCATAGGTAAATACTGGTTGTAAACAAACAGCCGGCGGTGCCAGGCGCCCTGTTAGCAACTTCGAGCAGTTGTTTGCACGGTGTGCCAGGACAGCCTGCTTTCACCTTTCTCAAGAGTGCTTTGCACATCTTTGCACACTACACAGTGCTCTTAGAACTGGCCAGGGCCTGCCTCAGTCTTTTGGACTTGTTTGGGCCCGTTCCAGCGCAGAGATTATGTGTTTGCCGTACCTCAGCTCGCAGATGGCTAGGGCGATGGAAAACAACCCAGAAAAAACTCAACGGATCTTGAATTGCCCCAGCCATGCTGCGTGTTCGACTTCTTGAGCACCGGCATGTGCTCTCGAAGTTTCCAGAACAGTAAATCACGCTGAGGACTTTGCGCCAGTGCAATTACCCGTTGAACGATATAGTTGCCAAACCTGGGGGCTGCGAGTGTTTGCTTCTGTCATTGTTAAAGGTTCAAGTGTTCCGCTGCACGCCTGTCTCGCATCATGACAAGAAGTGGCGGATGCGGATCACCCTGCTGGCCAGTTATTGCCTGATCCAGGAGTTAAACCTATTGAAACAGGGAAGCTGCTAGTTTCATTAGTTACCCCCACCTCCACGAGGTGCGATCTTTCCTCTGGCGTTGCGCACTGCAAGGCCTTCTCAATCACGTTGCTAGCATACTTGTGGCCTTGGGTGGCAGAAAGAGCAGCAGACGCTCAAGACCATGGATGCACTCAAGCTCCTCTTTGCTGTAAGTCTCGGGCAGGAGAGCGACAAAATGTTTTTGCGGACAATATTCATCACCTGCTGCCGGTCACCAGGTCGACTGCTGTGCTCCATAACATGTTGCACAACCTCAGCCAAAGCAACACGGCGGGGCTGGCGATCTCTGCAAGCCAGGACTAGCAAAAGGCCAAGAAGCGTAGTTGCCGTACTGATCCGTTGCCAGCTCCATACCTGACCAGGAGATATGCGAAAGGGCATCTTTCTCTACCCTCATCGCTAGACCCGCGAAGATTGTGGTACCCAGTAGAGGTCAGGACGACAGGGCTTCACTATAGGTTCAAATGGTTAAAACCCCGTCACTGCAGGTTTCCCGGAACTGCGCAGCGAGCACGACGGTACATGAGTTGTTGGAGCTTCTGAAGCAAAAACCGCATCCTTGTCCTCGCAACAACAAGAGAATCTGTGCCGCTGATGCTGCTGCTACTGCTGCTGCTGCCGCCACGACCACCACCACGAAGACAACCATAACCAGAACCAGAACCACAACGACGACGACGATGACCACCACGACGACGACGACGACAACCGCAAGCACAACAGCAAAGACCAACAACGAACCACGAACAACGATAACGACGACGACGACGACGACGACGCCGGCGACGACGACGACGACCACGACCACGACGACGACCACGACCACAACAGCAACAACAACAACAACCACAACCACAACCACAACCACAACCACAACCACAACCACAACCACAACCACAACCACAACCACAACCACAACCACAACCACCACGACCACGACCACG